ATTTCCAGCCTTATGGCACAGTGGTCAGAGAGAGAGGTCTGTATGATATCAATGTGCTTAAATTTATGTAGATTTGCCTTATGGCCCAGCAGGTGGTTTATCTTTGAATATGTGCCATGCAGTCTTGAAAAGAATGTGAATTTTTTTGGTATTTGGATGAAAAGCTCTGTAAATATCTAATAGGTCTAATTGTCTCATTTGTAGTGTTTAGATCTCTAACCTCCTTGTTGAGTTTCTTTCCTTGTGATCTACCTTTCTCAGAGAGTGGTGTATTGAAGTCACCCACTATAATTGTTGAGGCATCTCAGTATTTTTTATATCAGAAACAAATCATGAGAACAATATGAAACACTATAGATTTTATTCTTTAAGAACTGGTTCAATAATCGTTCTGAAAAGTGGTCATAATTTTCCCCCCTTTTACTTGCATTTTTCTCACTACTTCTTTTCGGTTGTTGGTTTTACTAACCTATAATATTGCCATTTACTGATTGAGTGACTTGGATATAGATACTTAGGTGCTTAACTTTACATATTTAGTGTGTAAATTTAATCAAGTTAAAGGGCCTGTGATAGATCCCAAATCTAGTAGGTAATTTTGAACTTCTCACATAATATTAAACTTTTAAAGATGGAGGACATATACCTACCTAATTGAACCAGACTTTAAGTCATGTTAATCATTAATATGTAATAAAACGATATTTAGGATGAGATGTTTGTTTTACTCAGTTTGTGTTACATAAATTGGAAAGTGTGGTTTGGGGGGTTGTGGTTTTGTTTTAATCAGAGTGGATAATGGTTTTGAATTTATTATTTCAGAAATATAGGAACACATTGGACCTGTCAGTGTTGCTGGCGCTACAAAAAGGACACAATTCATTTTAGAAAGCACCATCTTTTATTTTCTTTGGACTATAATTTTATAAAAATTAAGTTTCATGAAAATCAAGGGTGTAAACTATAAGAAACATAAAAAATACTTTTAAAAAATCTCTAGATGCATTGTAAATTAAAATGCTTGAAGCACTTACCTATCTATAAAGCCGCATTTTTCATGCTTATGCATTTGTTAAGGAGTCCTGGTGGCGCACTGGTTACCCACTGAGCTGCCATCCATAAAGTGAGCAAGACGCCTGGGGAACAACGGGGGCTTCTCTTCCTGTAAATAGACACAGTCCCACTAAGTCGTAGGGGGAGTCTGCGCTGACTCCAGGGCAGTGAGTTTGAGTGTGGTGTGCATTTCTGAAGGAGGGAAGTGGGCTGAAGACTGTCCAAGTCTTCTTAGAAGGTAAAGCATCTTCTTTAACAAAGATGTCATTGAGAATTTGGTTGGTACTGATGTGTAGATTTTGTATCTGAGTTCTAAGAGTTCCACTGCATTTTAGAAGTAGATTGTTCGTGTGTGTGTGTGTATGTGTGTGTGTTTTCCGTGCTGTGGGCCTGGGTCTACTTTAGCTCTGGTTTCATTAAAGCCTCCAGGGCCATCTTTCTGGAGTGTTAATGTTACGTGACAAGAGTAGCATAAATGTATTTATAGCCTTTCTGTTAACAAGTATTACTAAGTGCCCCTCTGAAACCAGGTTCTTTGTTAGAGCCCCAGGGTCGCAGGGGAGTGGACTGAGGTGATAACTCAGAGAGAGTGAGGCAGAGCTTAGATGCAGAGAATCAGGACCACGTAACTTTGCAGGCAGAATGGGGAGAGCATTAAAGTCAGGCGTTGGAAACGAGAGTATGGCTCAGGCAGAGGATCTTGTACACCAGGTCGGGGCCTTGGACTTGATCCTAAATATAATGAGAAGCCAAATGACGTCACCCAACTGCCATTTTGCAAGGATCCTGCTGGCAGCAAGATTGGAAAATAGATTGCAAAGGGGCAAGACGAATGTGGGCACCAGGTAGGATATTGTGACTGTGGTGAGAGGTGAGGGGGTTTATACTAAGGTGATAGGGGCAGTAGTGACTTCGGAAATGGAGGGTTCAAGTAAACCAAACATACTGCTGTGAGGTCGTTTCTGACACCGTGACCCTTTGTAGGGTGTCCAAGACAGTACATCTTTATAGGAACAGATAGCCTCATTTTCTCCTATGGAGGGGCTGCTGGGCTTAGAACTGCTGGCCTTGTCCAACACTTAAACCTGCCAGCACAAGGAGTGATGGTGAATTCGATATTGGGGTGAGAAAGAAGGAAACTTTTCAGGTTTTTCTAGTTTGCCTAGCCTGGTAAATCACTGGTATTGTTCACCAAAATAGGGGAATGGCAAGATTTAAGTTTGGGGAAGATGATGAGTTTGGTTTTAGACAAATTAAGTGGCATCTCTATGTGTAATTGTCCCAGGCAGTTGGACATAAAAATTAGAGAGACACAAAAGATAGTTTTTCTGAGGAGAACAGAGAGCGCATAGAGAGAGGTTGTTCAGGAAAAGAAGGAAAAATTGGTAAACCAACGTCTCTTGTGGACCAACATATTCAAAAACTTGGCATATAAACTTGCTTATTGGCCATTGAGAAATATAACTAGTGTATTGGCTGTTCATGTTCGCTGAGTGCACGTCTGTTGACAGACGGACACGAGAATCCCAGTCACGGGATCACTTGAGCAAGGATCAGAAAGGACGTCAGAGCCCAGTGGCCAGCGTCCTTCCATCATGATTGTTGGGTCACTTCCCTGTCCTCTCTGCAGAAGGTTAGCTTCCGCTTCATTTTGAAAAGGAGGAGCTCATTTCACCTCAATTGTACTTTCACTGTGAGTAAAGAAACTAAAATACTTGGCATCTGAAAATAGATGTGAGTTTATTATCCTTCTAAAAAGAACCCATGCATAGTAACGGGTGTTGTAAACAAAGTGATTGATGAGTCATCCTTATTGTTGTTACCTAAAAGAAAGTAAAAGAATTGAAAAGGCTTATTCCAATGACCAGTTTATTGATGTGTTTCTTTTTTTCTATTTTTTGGGTGTAGAAATGGCTACAAGCAACTGACCTCACTAGCGAAGTGTACCAGCATTTAGCCTACTATGTACCACAAATCTACTGCAGGGGTCCCAACCCCTTCCCGCAGAAAGAAGACACGCTGGTGCAGCATATTTTGCTGGGACCCATGGAATGGTACCTTTGTGGGGAAGATCCCGCGTTTGGATTTGCAAAACTTGAACAAGCAAGCAAGCCCTCTCGCCTCTGTGGCCGTGTCTTTAAAGTGGGAGAGCCTACGTACTCTTGCAGGTAAAATGGGTCTGATTTTGGTTTTTCCTCAGTGTCTCTTAGTTTTACTTAACATCACGTCTTCTTTGAAACTTAAAAAAAAAAATTATTCAAGAACCCAACTAGTAAACATGCATAGTTTAAAATGAGCTGTAAAATGCAGATTTATTTGATTGTGTTTCCAGTCATTTCAGGTCAAGAAATAAAACGGCGACAGCATTCCAGAATCCAGCTGTGTGCTTTCTCCCTCCCTCCAAATGAATTGCTCACGCTGACTTTTGTAAATCACGTCTTTGGTTTTGTTCATGTAATTTTTTAGTTACGGGGTGTATTAGTCTGGGTACTTTGGAGAAACAAATCCATAGCGACTCATGTATAAGAGAGAGTTTTATGTAAAGAAAAGGTGCATCATGAAAACATCCCAACCCAATGCTGCCCAAGCCCACAAGTCCAACATTAAC